AGGTGATAATCAGAGCAAGCTCAGACCAGACCACACTTATGCAGCATGCATCCTTCCTAACCTACACACCTTGTTACTTTTATTCTAGGGGCGGTCAGGTCATCTCTCTTACCTCTTCTCTCGCCACGAATTCTTCAGTCGCGTTCCAGATACCCAATCCTTTCACTCAGTCCCATTTAACTCCTCGATCTGGTACGCTCCGAAGTCTCCGACCCGTGCAATTCGGTAGGGACCTAACCATCTCTTATCGAGCTTCCTGGACCACTGCTTTCTCCAACGATGTATCGTAGAGAAGCATTACATCCCCGACTGCCAAGGGTACTTTCCTCACTCGCGCAGACTGATCCCATCGGGCCTTATCATCCATACGGCTTCTCGCCACCTGATCAGATGCCTCTTGGATCCTTTCTTCTATCGCCCCGACCTGCCGCGCCCGAGTATCGAGCAACTCTTCAAATGACAGGTTGACTTCCAGATCCCGGCGCCTCCACGTCTTAAGAAAGCTTTCGATAGGAAGGTGGCATGCCTTCCGTACCACAGCGTCGCAGATGCGTACTTGGTGGATCTCTTCACTGTAATGTTCTCGACAAAGAAAGCCGCCCTTAGGTATCTTGGCCATTGATTAGGCCTACCTTCGGTCCATTTGGCCAGGAGGTTCGTAATAGTACTATGTCCTCTCTCTACGGGAGCATTTGCCTGGAGGTGCGCGGCCGTGGTGTAGTTGGCTGCCACACCATATCTTGCTAACAGTTCTTGCACCTCCTGGCAGGTAAACTCTGATCCCCTGCCCATTACGAATTCCCTGATGAAAGGATAACGCAGGCAGTACTCCTCGATGCAGCTCACCAGGACTGACCCGGTCTTTGTGCGAATAGCTCGCCCGTCTACGAACCTAGACAGGTTATCGCGCGCATCGAAGATATAGTTATAGCCCTGATCCCCAAGTGGCATAAAAAGCAGATCGAGATGCACTACGGCCCCTACCTCTCGCTCTAACCTTGGATGCAGCAGCTCTCCCTGCCTTAAACGGGATCTCTCCTGGCAGGGTACGCAAGATCGACAGAATTTTCCGACCATGTCCATCATTCTATCCCAGTAGTACAGCTCACTTATCTTGGCATACGTGGCTTGTACCCCTCGATGCTCTCCTGCAATGCCATCGTGTAGTGCTGCTACGACGTCGATCTGACGATTTCTACCGCAGACCCTCCTGGGATTCCCCACTTTTCTTCTCACGAAAAGGTGACCATCTCGCACTAAGTAGCGTTGCAGCATCCTTTGAGCCCTATCGCTCGCATCTCTTAGCCGCATTTCACATGACAGAAGAAGCCCCAGCTTTAGGTAGATCCCGTCGTACTCCTCTACACGGAAAGCCTCCTTAATTTTCCCTTCTTCGAACTCGTCGTCCTGGCTCTCGGGTATTTCGTCCACATTCCCTGCCGGGTTCAACGAGTCTGACTGGTCTAGGCTTTCCTGCAATA